CCGCTGCTGCTCCGCACGCTGCTGCGCTATGCTGCGCGATGCTGTGCTCCTGCTCCAGCCCCTGCGCTAAGTTTAGCGCATCAAACAGCGCTCTGGCGCTGACCATACCGTACCGGTACAATGCCGGCAGGTCGATGCCTCTACTGAGGCAGGTACCGGTACTTATACCGGTAGGCCATGGTCTGGCCTCAATGCTGCGAGGCCAGGCCAGACCCTGGACCGTCCAGATGGACGGTTCAGCCTCAATCGGCGGGTGGCAGCTTCAAGAGCGCCGCCAGGCCCAAACAAAGTGTCGTTTGGGGCTACCYGCTGGGCTGAGTTAAAAAATCAGGCCTTTAGGGCCTGTAGTCCAAAGGTCGGGCCTTTAGGCCCTGGTGTGTTCCTCCGGCCCTAAGTCGGGTCCGGTAGGACCCGTGTGAATCGAAGATGTAACAGCTCCTGTGCGTTTCACTTCAGACCCTCATTCTCCTGTTCGTTTCACTTCAGACCTTCAGCTTATACTTCGTGTGTGTGTGTGTGCATGCACGCGTCTGCGCACATGCAGGAACCTTATGAGTTATGGGACAGTGGACCTTGAGCAGAGTGTCAGCTTGAACATTAGCTCAAGAGTCTAGGCAGAGTTTTGAAGTCCAACTTACTTACTGATGAGATGGTGAGATCCATTGCAGCTTGCGATATGCAGCATCTTGCAGACATGGGTCGGATGGACCAACCCTCGAGAGCATCCCAAGAGGTCATTGTTGTCCCTGGTACAGATACGGAGCTGCACGGATGCTATAGAAGCTAATTGTATTCTGCCTTCTGTCCGCCAGTGAAGTTGGATGATCAGATTCATGCGAAAATAATGCAAGGTGGCTCACCAAAGCTCGTTGTTTGAAATCTGACCTTGTATTGTTTTTGTTTGCCAGAATCCTGCAGCTGAGGCAAATGCAGTAAAGAAAAATCGCTTCGGACACTTTGCAACGGAACACACATACCTCGAGCGGATCAACATTGGACATAACTTTGCTAGCCAAGAGCTCCTCAAAGTCATCATCCAAAAGGTATGCAATACTATGCAATACTATGCAATACTATGCAATACTGTGCAATACTGTGCAATATTATGGAATACTATGCAATACTATGCATTCATCACCTGAATATCTGCTGATCTATTCCCTGGCTATGTTTTTGATCACCTGTGCAATGGCTCATTCCTCCCTCCTCTCCCCACCTGGCCCCGTTCCCCCCCCCCCCCCCCCCCCCCCCCCCCCCCCCCCCCCCCCCCCCCCCTCTCCCGCCCTCCCCTCTTCATTTTGTCACGCTGTTTCTTGTTCGGGAAATCAGAAAGCATAGCTGTCCGTCAGGTCACTGTGGACATGGGCGTAATGCGACCATCTCCCTTAGAAACAATTTCCCTGATGATTATAAGGTTGCCCTTCTTCAAGAGGAGGTTGAGAGAAAAAGCAAGAGGAGAGGGAGAAAAGGGATATGATTCCCTTAAGTTATGTTTCAAATTCATTCAAATTTGGATGCAACTGGAACTGGCAAATTAAAAATGACATTCTGGGATCACATGCTCGATGCGTGGCTATATCATTTCGTACGCCCCCCTTCCCCCCTCTTCCCTCTCCTTGCACAGGGGCCATGCTAATCGTCTTTGTATCGTTCCAATTTTAGCACATGTGTGGCCATATCATTCGTTGAAGCCTGTCCTGATTGATGGAATGCATACTGTCGAGTTGAAGTATAAAGATGTTGCCACAATTACGTATGGTCATTACCGCTGTATCTAGACTGAAAGTTGCCCC